AGACGTGATGTCGTCCAGTTAAATTCCGCATATCTTTCATTAAATTGATCTTAACTAATATTATATTCCTTTCCAGCAAGTTACATAAAATAACCTAACCCGTCTCTTTGTAACAAGAATGCCCCTCACTCCTTATTTGAAATTATTAAAGATTTACATAAAATTGAATTATGTAAACTGATATATTTGTTTTTTTTTTATTTAAAATGTTTTGGTAAAGTAAATATCAGCATCTAGGTTTTAACGTTTATTTTATTTTCCTAATTTACGATCTAAACTTCAACAATTCCTCCCCTTAGCGTCACTGACGAGTCCTAGCAGTCTAAAACAGTTGTATTATACAGTCCCTTAGCGTCACTGACGAGTCCTAGCAGTCTAAAACAGTTGTATTATACAGTCCCTTAGCGTCACTGACGAGTCCTAGCAGTCTAAAACAGTTGTATTATACAGTCCCTTAGCGTCACTGACGAGTCCTAGCAGTCTAAAACAGTTGTATTATACGGTCCCTTAGCGTCACTGACGAGTCCTAGTAGTCTAAAACAGTTGTATTATACGGTCCCTTAGCGTCACTGACGAGTCCTAGCAGTCTAAAACAGTTGTATTATACAGTCCCTGAGCGTCACTGACGAGTCCTAGCAGTCTAAAACAGTTGCATTATACGGTCCCTTAGCGTCACTGACGAGTCCTAGCAGTCTAAAACAGTTGTATTATACGGTCCCTTAGCGTCACTGACGAGTCCTAGTAGTCTAAAACAGTTGTATTATACAGTCCCTTAGCGTCACTGACGAGTCCTAGCAGTCTAAAACAGTTGTATTATACGGTCCCTTAGCGTCACTGACGAGTCCTAGCAGTCTAAAACAGTTGTATTATACGGTCCCTTAGCGTCACTGACGAGTCCTAGCAGTCTAAAACAGTTGTATTATACGGTCCCTTAGCGTCACTGACGAGTCCTAGCAGTCTAAAACAGTTGTATTATACGGTCCCTTAGCGTCACTGACGAGTCCTAGTAGTCTAAAACAGTTGTATTATACAGTCCCTTAGCGTCACTGACGAGTCCTAGCAGTCTAAAACAGTTGTATTATACGGTCCCTTAGCGTCACTGACGAGTCCTAGCAGTCTAAAACAGTTGTATTATACGGTCCCTTAGCGTCACTGACGAGTCCTAGCAGTCTAAAACAGTTGTATTATACGGTCCCTTAGCGTCACTGACGAGTCCTAGCAGTCTAAAACAGTTGTATTATACAATTTATATACTTATTTAGTGACATTTTACCGTATCTTATTCTGTGTTTGTATTGAAGGATACCATGTATGTGCCTTCTGTACAGTCCGTTAAGTGTAACAGTCCCAAAGCCCAATGTGTTTACAACAAAAAAACACAGATATTAGGAAATAATCTATGTAAAACGTTAAACAAAAAGGCAGTTAACAGCTATAGACACCACTTGAATACAAATCTTCGAACCGAAATTATGTAAGAATTTTATAGGTAAACTGATACCAATGTAACAAGGCTGACAAAACATATTTCGTGAAGTAATGGCCATCAATGAGAAAACCTACAGCAGCAAAAAATCTAAACAGTTTTGTAACAGATTTGTATAACATTTCTCTGTTCCTTTTGCGGAGAAAACAACCAATCTTAACAACGGAGATATACTCACGTTTGAGTCACCGCTTCCCGAGAACAACTCACGTGGAGAAAACAACCAATCTTAACAACGGAGATACATCACGTGATATGTTTTACTGAGAATGGTGATCGCCTACTAAAACCATTCAATGAAAGTAATTAATTAAGAATCAGAAGTACTCACGTGCTATAGTTCGTGTCACAGGTAATAACGTCAGTAATAGGGCGATGACAAAGTGACCGACCATAGTCAAGACATCCACACAACACAACGTGTGTATCGATCTGAGAGAGCTACAGTCCCGTCATTATAAAGCTTCGGTAGAAATACGAACTTGTGCCGAAATTGTCAGAAAGGAAAAGATAAATCTTTGAGTGCAATAGGGCCATCAGGAATCAACGAATATCTTTGACTGCGATAGGGCATCAGGAATCAACGAATATCTTTGACTGCGATAGGGCATCAGGAATCAGCCAATATCTTTGACTGCGATAGGGCATCAGGAATCAACGAATATCTTTGACTGCGATAGGGCATCAGGAATCAACAAATATCTTTGACTGCGATAGGGCATCAGGAATCAACCAATATCTTTGACTGCGATAGGGCATCAGGAATCAACCAATATCTTTGACTGCGATAGGGCATCAGGAATCAACCAATATCTTTGACTGCGATAGGGCATCAGGAATCAACCAATATCTTTGACTGCGATAGGGCATCAGGAATCAACCAATATCTTTGACTGCGATAGGGCATCAGGAATCAACCAATATCTTTGACTGCGATAGGGCATCAGGAATCAACGAATATCTTTGACTGCGATAGGGCATCAGGAATCAACCAATATCTTTGACTGCGATAGGGCATCAGGAATCAACCAATATCTTTGACTCAATAGGGTCACCAGGAATCAACCAATATCTTTGACTGCGATAGGGCATCAGGAATCAACCAATATCTTTGACTGCGATAGGGCATCAGGAATCAACCAATATCTTTGACTGCGATAGGGCATCAGGAATCAACCAATATCTTTGACCGCGATAGGGCATCAGGAATCAACCAATATCTTTGACTGCGATAGGGCATCAGGAATCAACCAATATCTTGACTCAATAGGGCTATCAGGAATCAACGAATATCTTTGACTGCGATAGGGCATCAGGAATCAACCAATATCTTGACTCAAAAGGGCCATCAGGAATCAACCAATATCTTTGTCTGCAATAAAGCCATCAGGAATTAACCAATATCTTTGTCTGCAAAAGGGCCATCAGGAATCAACCAATATTTTTGAGTACAATAGGGCCATCAGGAATCAACCAATATCTTTGACTCAATAGAGCCATCAGGAATCAACCAATATCTTTGTCTCCAATAGGGCAATCAGGAATCATCCAATATCTTTGACTCAATAGGGCCATCAGGAATCAACCAATATCTTTGACTCAATAGGGCCATCAGGAATCAACCAATATCTTTGAGTGCAATAGGGCCATCAAGAATCAACCAATATCTTTGACTCAATAGGGCCATCAGGAATCAACCAATATCTTTGACTCAATAGGGCCATCAGGAATCAACCAATATCTTTGAGTGCAATAGGGCCATCAAGAATCAACCAATATCTTTGACTCAATAGGGCCATCAGGAATTAACCAATATCTTTGAGTGCAATAGGGCCATCAAGAATCAACCAATATCTTTGAGTGCAATAGGGTCATCAGGAATCAACCAATATCTTTGACTCAATAGGGCCATCAGGAATCAACTGATCTTACTAGACGTTTGTACCTTAATTGTCATCAGCAAATAGCAGTGGTCAGAAGGAGGTTCATTTCTATCAAAACATTTACGTGTTAAAGGGATGTTGAGAGCAAACAGCATGTGCATGAACGACAGTTGTTATCTGATTTGTAGGGAGGTATACTTTTTGTTTTAAGGTTTGTAACGGATAGTAAAATATAAGAATGTCTTTAAGTGTGGAGATTCTCAAACTTAGAACATAAGGAAACAAACTCCTAGCATGTTGGACTGTCACTAATTATCTTTGCTCCTCTACAGATTTTTGAAAATTTTGGTATCGCATGTTCACGTAACGACAGTTAAAATTTGAATTTCAATGTCCATACTTCATTTGTGCTTTGTGGAAGTGAAATCTTGCTTGCCAACCTTTACATTTTGAAACTGATCTTGTCGGCCATAGTTTATTTATTTATATTTTTTTCAAATAGAAGGATTCAGACGTTATCATCACATAATAAAAACTACGATAATCTTACACCTGTCAAAATAACAAATGGCAAAAGCGAGATTTACGGAATCCGACAAGTTAACTGTAAGTATACACACGTACAGTTAGTACTGCCTAACAGCAATTAGTGTCTTCAAACTCCACAAACCCTAAATGCCCTATCTGGAGTTTACAGCACCATTTACACGTGATTTGATTGTGATAAGTGTAAGAAGCTTTGATAAATGTTTGAATACACAACTTGAGAGATGAACCAACAATAAAACCCGAGGACATCTTCATGATTGCTTTTTATCATTAATTTTAGCTTGGGGTATCCTTGTCGTGGTAGTCATAATAATTTATTTTATTATTATTATTATTAAGTTTGGAGAAATGTGTTTTTGTGGTTTTATTTCATACTCTAAATAGAAAACAGGCAAACAAGGAAATTAGGAAAGGATTAGAGATAGCATCTTACTAAGTGTTGACGATATGGCCCGGTAAGGTAAGGAAAAAAACTCTACATCGCGTCATCGACAGACATCAATAGCGAGGACATCTCAAACCTTTTGTCCAATAACAAAACAATGTGCAGTCAAAGTCAACACATGCCCAGGAAAGACGGCCAACAAAACCATTTGTGCGTATTCAACAGAAAGCTTTTCTTCATTTGTAAAACACTATACACTGTCCGTTTCGAGGACTAAACATAGTGACAGTTTAAAGTCCTTTGTGAAACCAGCTCTTCCTACCTTAGAACTGAAAATACATTTCCTTCAAAGACACGTCAAATAAAAATAGATTGTTGTTAAATTCACTCATCAATTTGTAGTTATAATCTTATTTTGGATAAAAAGAAAACAAAAACAAAACACAAAATAATCTTCTGTGCCTTAAAACTAATCGACAAGTTCCCATCTAACAATTGTAGGCTCCGAGGCTGATTTGGTGTTCGATTTTCTTTCCCACCGACTTCGTGTTTGCTATTTACTCATTGACAACATACTTGAAATGGATTTCATAATGTTGGAGTACCCAAGAGACCAGCCATTGTTCGCATTACTGGTCTAGTTTCTACACGTCCCCGTAAACATCCGGTGAGTGTTATCGGAATATGTAGGTCAACACCGCTAAGTGATAAAGCTAAGCTTCAAAGTAGAACACATTCAACATGGCAGCGTCACCGCCGGTGCAGAAGGCTTCCACACATGTGCCATCACTCGATGAAGTTGCTGATGGTAAGTTTTGTGCATGCAACGAGTAATCGTAATGATTTGTGTTGGCTGTCTGTACTGGTGATTGTACCGGAACTAGTTTCAATAGGACGTTTTAATGGGGGTCGTCTCAAAGGTTTTCACAGTGTGCTGCACATATACGAATCAACCTGATTTTGTGACTTAGTTGGAAACTGAGTTGAATCTTAGATATAAGACATGTATATTGCTGCAATACCTGGAGATTAAAGTTTCTGGTGGAAATGGTTGTTACAAATGGCATGTCAACACAAGCGTGACTGTTGTAACCAGGCTGTATAACACGGCCTATATAATGTACCTCGCGTTGTCTCAGGTCACTGTGTATGTACAGAAATACTTAGTTATTTGTGTCAAGCAAAGTTGACATTTATTCAAGGTAGAATGTAGTCATGTACTTCGTCAAATAACATAACATATCTTATTTATGCACGTTATTAAGTAAAGAAGGCAATGTATTAAATAACATGTATAACATAGATATATTAATTACTTTAGATATCTTGTAGAAAAAATTAAATCTTATTTTAATAAGAAAGATAATTGGGTAAACTAGATATGCAATTCGTTTACATTATGAACGGGATCTGAATTTGGGATAATAAACCTCTCCAAAGCACTCGGAATGATCCACATACGTGTTAACAAGTCAACCGAAAATGTTTCTTGGCAATATTCACACATATTATGCTGTATAAATATTTACACATTTTATTATGTTCTTAAATGAGCATAAAAATGTAAATATCGATAAGACCATAAGATATATTAATATTAAATGATCATTTTAGAGAATACAGTTTCAGTCTAATTACTTATACCATTGTCGTTTCATCAAGTATCAACAGGTATATTGATGTGACCGACGTGATAAAGGGTTGAGGAGAAAGTAGACACTTTGCCACCCTTCTGTTGATAAACCAAGACAGATGTGACGTACCAACGGGAACATCAGTTTTAAAACATTTCTTGGCGATCTCACGATGTTCTCTTTTTGTATAGGATATATGATTTATCAAAATAGATTTCTAATTTTATTTTATAAAGTACTGGATCGACATTTCTCCATGAAGAAATGACAATTTGTCTTGCTATGTATATTGGCCACAAAAAGAGCATTTACATTAACTGGACACCTAGATATTTAAAAATGTTGTTTTGAAAAAATTGTACCCCACTTATTCTTATATCGATTTGTTAGTGGTGACGCAATCTCGTGCGTTAACATGCAACTTCCAAAATTCTGACCAGTCCAATTCTGACCGCGTCAGATTCCAAAATGAAATTTGAGTCATTTGATGTGTAAGCTTAGGAAAACGCTTTGTTCTGTTAGTTTTCAATCAAAATATAGTCAGATTAATGGTGATTTTATCTTTACAACAGTTCTCTCCGCCGGATTGGGCAAGAACTTTGCTGATGTCAGTGCCAGTGTTGTAGACTGTCCAGACCTCACCAAAAAACCATTCATGCTGGTCTCTGAAGGTATTATTGAATCTCTGATTGGTTATTGAATCGATTTAGAAGTGATACCGAGAGGAAAAAGAAACGCAATAAGCAGAAAGTTAATATTGTAAATTAAATCCTTGACGTACACCCTTGAAACTTGACAAATGTGTGCATTCGGCGTAGATCCCTAAGGTACCGTATTCAAATCACTGATGCATAACTAAACTGCGCACGCAGCTTGTACAAAAGAATAAGAGACAAAAGCACGATATCTCGAACCCAGTATAAAGGATTGGTTCAAAATCTGTGTGTGCGAATCTACAGACATATCCGTCTTGATTTCCCACATTTTAAGCGTAAACAGTTCATCTTAAAAAATGCCACGGCTGTCCGAAGTTGGCAGGGGTCGTGCCATTGCACTTTTTATGCAAGGTACCCGGCAAAATCAGGTCGCTAATCAATTTGGAGTCCATCCATCGAACATTTGCCGTCTCATCCAAAGACTACATGCCACCGGAAGGGTTGCAGACCGTCCCCGAAGCGGTCGCCTTCGTGTGACGACACGTCGGCAGGATAGGGCAATGCGACTTTCGCACCTACGCAATCGCTTTCTGGTGGCCACGGAAACAGCAAGGAACACAACTGGGCGTCATCATGTTCCAATTGATCCAAAGACAGTGCGTACTCGACTGCGTGCCTTCGGTCTAAGACCGCGGCGGCCATATGTTGGACCACAGCTTAATGCGCGGCGACGTGCCATACGAATGCAATGGCTGAATGCACATTCCGTAAGACGCTTCCCAGTGCAACGTTGGAGAAGGGTCCTGTTCTCAGATGAGTCCAGGTTTTCGCTTTACCGGGCAGACGGCCGACGTCGTGTCTACAGACGTACCCACGAGCACTATGCAGATGCTTGCGTGGTAGAGTATGGCCGTTTTGAAGGATGATCGGTCATGGTATGGGGAGGGATTGCGCATGTTATCAAGACTCCTCTGGTCGTTATTGACGGCTGGCCTCCGTACAGCACCGACCTCTCCCCAATAGAACATTTATGGAACAAATTTATGGACAAAAGGATAGGACGTAGGCCGAATCCTCCAATCAACGTCGCTCAGTTGGCGTTGGCGCTGGATGAGGAATGGAATCGTATACCAATGAGGAGGGTTAATGCCCCGATCAATTCAATGCACAAAAGAGTTCGTGCAGTTACTTAAGCTCGCGGGGGGCACACACGATATTGATGGGTCCAGAACGCACTTCATTTTGAGTGGGGTACTCTTGAATCAACGTCAAATTTAAAAGGTTTACTTAACGTACACGAATGAAATTCTCGTAGATGACAGAGTGGTCAACTATCTTCCAGTTACACCATAATTACATAATTGCGTTTCTTTTTCCTCTCAGTATATAAGTTTTAAATGTTCGGGGGAAACTAATTAAAATTGCCGTAATTAATTTCTGTAGATAATGACGGTTGATGATTTCAATGTTCATCTTATAGGATATTAAGCCTACAAGCTTTGAAGATTCTGACTTCACCTGTAGTAGGACGGTGTTCGATCTATGCCGAACCAGTACAAGTATGATCTTTAAAATAGATATATGGTATTCGTGATCACGGAGACACACAACTGTGTGACATGGTGAAGTGTATTAATTATTCATACACCCAAATGTCTTTGTTGTAACCGACTCACAGGAAAACTAAATGTGACCGGTACAGTTATACCCGAGTAAATTTACCTGGTCAATATGTGTTGATGACGTAACTCGATAAATACTGCCTACGTTTAACATTGACCAACAATGGTCACGGAGTCATTGTAATGTATTGGGTGTGGTAATGATATTTTACGTGGTTTGACGTCCTTCCAAAGACAAGGAACACCTGAGGAAAGGGTATCAAGAAAGATACAAAGAATGGAAAATAAAATACAGACAGAGTTGTCTGAAAAGAAAGGCACATACTTAGATCTTAAGTGTTGATATGAGACAACAGGTCTATTCTGGTCTCTCCAATAGCCCGTTGGTAAACGACAAAGAGGAAAACTCCTGGTTCTCTAGGAGCCACACTTTTATCGCACGGTCGTTGACAGCGGAACCATCACCTACCTGAAGCAGGTGTACCACAATAAGTCACCTTCTACCGCGTGCAGTGAGATATAGCGGGATTCTTACCCCGTCTTCGGCACGGTTCTAGCGGAACCATCTCCTACCTGAAGCAGGTGTACCACAATAGGTCACCTTCTATCGCGTGCATTGAGATTCAGCGGGATTCTTACACCGTCTTCGGCACGGTTCTAGCGGAACCATCTCCTACCTGAAGCAGGTGTTCCACAATAAGTCACCTTCTACCGCGTGCAGTGAGATATAGCGGGATTCTTACCCCTTCTTCGGCACGGTTCTAGCGGAACCATCTCCTACCTGAAGCAGGCGTACCACAATAAGTCGCCTTCTACTGTGTGCAGTGAGATACAGGGGTATTCTTACCACGTCTTCTGTACGGTTCTACCGGAACCATCACCTACACGTACCTGAAGCAGGTGTACCACAATAAGTCACCTTCTACCGCGTGCAGTGAGGTACAGCGGTATTCTTACCCCGTCTTCACCTACCTGAAGCAGGTGTACCACGATAAGTCACCTTTTACCGCGTGCAGTAAGATACAGCGGGATTCTTACCCCGTCTTCTGCACGGTTCTAGCGGAACCATCACCTACACGTACCTGAAGCAGGTGTACCACAATAAGTCACCTTCTACCGCGTGCAGTGAGGTACAGTGATATTCTTACCCCGTCTTCTGTACTGTTGGCGTTATAATCATGATTTTTTGCGGACTCGGACAAATCGTATGATAAAGGACAAAGTTCTTTTCATCGTCATCCTCGATTTTTAACGAGTTAGGATCACTTACGGTATGAAATGGTGTCGTCTTAAACACCATGACTAGCGAAGATTGTGCGCTTTGTTTGAGCTGATTTTACATACAATCGAAAGTCGTCCGAATTTCGAGGGTATTATTTCACCGGAGTTCCCGTTTTCAAACATTGTATCATGAAATATGTAAACCGCTAGACCAGTAATGTGCCAGTGATGAAGGTTGAAGGCAAATCTAGTACAAAGGACCAGTCTTTTATATACAAAACAATCAGCATGTGGACGATCGCTCTCCATCAAGTCTTGGTGAAATATGAAGAGGTTCCGAAAGACTCACAATTTAGCAGTTCTTTTTAATACACTTTTAGAGAATAGACACAGTAGAGCCACAGAGTGAATTAAACTGCATCATACAGCTGTTTCGTCCTTCTACGACTCATCAACGATGCTGAGGGCCTGAATTTTGAAGCCATGGAGGCGACCGAGGGGAATTCAAAGTAATGGAAAGAAAAGTCTAGTTCTAGCTGAGGAGGTGAACTAGCCCCACAATGTAATACGTATCGTTACATCAATATATCTGATAAATCTAAAATAACGTCAAGTGTATATTAATTGATTTGAATTGGAAGAAAGATAAATGTTTAATTAACATGAAACAAGAAAGTGGTGGGCTTATTAATGTTTTTAATACATGACAGGACTAGGAGGCAGCCCGAGGCTGGCAGATGTAGGAGGACCAGCTTTTCTCACCCCCACTCCACAGTTAGATAAGGTATGTATTTTTTGAAAGCTTCCCAACATTATTTCCTGAAATCTCTGTGATTTTTGAAACAGAAATCTTGATTTTGTAGTGTTGACATGTCGTTTTTGTTTGATTATAGAAATTCACATTTGCACAAATCGCCAAATTGGCAGAGTTACCTGGAGCTTTTATGATTGGAGCAGGAGCAGGTCCCTGGGAGCACGTGGGATGTAACAGCGAGGTAAGATTAATGACACTGGAGGTGAACCGTGCCTGTTTAATTGACCCAGAATAATCCCCTGTCCTGACTGTGACTTGGATGTTCAGTATCTTTTTATCATAAACCCTGACATGTTTATATGGTGACCGGTCAGATTTAACTGTCATGCTTTCCATTACCATGATGTTTAAATGGTCTCTAGTAATTAACTTAGATCTAATTAGTGTTAACAGTTGTGTGTTTATCTCTTAGCTAGCGTCAGGTTTTCAGTAAAATGTACATGTTTGTTTACATTTGATGTTTGCTGATTTTCCTGTTTACATTTGATGTTTGCTGATGTTCCTGTTTACATTTGATGTTTGCTGATGTTCCTGTTTACATTTGATGTTTGCTGATGTTCCTGTTTACATTTGATGTTTGCTGATGTTCCTGTTTACATTTGATGTTTGCTGATGTTCCTGTTTACATTTGATGTTTGCTGATGTTCCTGTTTACATTTGATGTTTGCTGATGTTCCTGTTTACATTTGATGTTTGCTGATGTTCCTGTTTACATTTGATGTTTGCTGATGTTCCTGTTTACATTTGATGTTTGCTGATGTTCCTGTTTACATTTGATGTTTGCTGATGTTCCTGTTTACATTTGATGTTTGCTGATGTTCCTGTTTACATTTGATGTTTGCTGATGTTCCTGTTTACATTTGATGTTTGCTGATGTTCCTGTTTACATTTGATGTTTGCTGATGTTCCTGTTTACATTTGATGTTTGCTGATGTTCCTGTTTACATTTGATGTTTGCTGATGTTCCTGTTTACATTTGATGTTTGCTGATGTTCCTGTTTACATTTGATGTTTGCTGATGTTCCTGTTTACATTTGATGTTTGCTGATGTTCCTGTTTACATTTGATGTTTGCTGATGTTCCTGTTTACATTTGATGTTTGCTGATGTTCCTGTTTACATTTGATGTTTGCTGATGTTCCTGTTTACATTTGATGTTTGCTGATGTTCCTGTTTACATTTGATGTTTGCTGATGTTCCTGTTTACATTTGATGTTTGCTGATGTTCCTATTTACATTTGATGTTTTCTCTATTTTTTCTATTTACAGATGATGAATAATGTAATATTGGACTGTGATGGAGGTGTAGTAAGAAACAATGCACATATTGCTAAAGTCAACCCAGAGGTAAGATTGAGTAACGACATATGGTCCTACACACCTGTAAGTTATAATGTTCCTTTTGGTACATTTATTGACTAACATGGAGATTAACAATTCTAAACATCTGTACCAGATAGTGATATTAAAGAAAATGGCTAAGATTTCTGACACATTGACATAGTAATAAATATGTACTGAGAATATATATGTACATTTTAATTCTGAATATTTCTTCAAAATGGAGCAGAATTGACAACTGTACACTGTTATCATCTTGTGCATTTTTTACTGGTTGTGTTATAAGATGAAGGTGAGAGTGGAGTCACAGAAACCTCACACTCTAATGTTCTACTGGTTGTGTTAGAAGAACTTCCTTTCTGTCTATTAATAGACCTTATGTATATAATGTTGGTGTTTATCTATACATTAATATCCTTTTGTTCTTTATTTCAGAACGATGGCTGTATCTTAGAAAAACTAACAGTGGCAGAATTCAATTTGATGGGAAACTTCCTGGTGTCTGAAGGGAAATGCTGTAAAGTAGGATATATTACTGTCTCTATAATACATGGTGGTCAGTGGGCAGACGTGTGCTCTTGATGGTCAGTATTACCGCTCAAAGTCAGACATGTGAACTAGATGGTCAGTATTATCCCTCAAAGTCAGACATGTGCTCTTGATGGTCAGTATTATCCCTCAAAGTCAGACATGTGCTCTTGATGGTCAGTGTTATCCCTCAAAGTCAGATGTGTCGGTATTACCTCTCAAAGTCAGACATACGCACGTAATGGTCAGTATTACCCCTCAAAGTGAGAAATGTGAACTTGATGGTCAGTATTATCCCTCAAAGTCAGACATGTCAGTATTACCTCTCAAAGTCAGACATGTGCACTTGATGGTCAGTATTATCCTTCAAAGTCAGATATGTCAGTAATACCCCCTCAAAGTCAGACATGTGCTCTTGATGGTCAGTACTTCCCTTCAAAGTCAGACATGTGAACTTGATGGTCAGTATTACTGCTCAAAGTCAGACATGTGCTCCTGCGTAACTTGGCATGAGTGGCATGGTTACGTCAGCGAATGCAATACACAATGTCTGTATACAAAGTTGAGAGATTCATTATATGGTAATCTGGAAAATTCAAGATTGAAAAAGTTGGTACTTTTGTTAGGTTTTCTGAGGAAATTCAGATTGCATATGTATCAATACTCATCAGAATGTGAGTAGACAGTTACATAGGATAGCGGAGGTAACGTGGGGTAAAATGGCTTGATGATATGCGTTTGTCCTAACCCACAAAAAACGTTCTAAATGAAATTTTTTTTTTATTAAAGACCAGGAATATAGCATTAATATACAAATTGTTGTAACTGCTTGCTTGCTTTTGCTGTAGAAAACACATATTACATTGTTATACAATATTAAACTTTTAAATGTTCCCTTCAGGTACTAGAGGTGAAGGCCGGAAAGAGGACGGGAGAGGAAAACTTTGTGTCTTGTATGCGGAAGACCTTACAGAGTTTTTATCAAGAGAAAATCGTGGCACTAGGTGGAGTGTTCCTTATAGAGAAGGGTAAAGCCAAACTCCACATAATGGTTAGTATAGACTGGTGGTTCCTTATAGAGAAGGGTAAAGCCTCCACATAATGGTTAGTATAGACTGGTGGTTCCTTATAGAGAAGGATAAAACCAATCTCCACATAATGGTTAGTATAGACAGGTGGTTCCTTATAGAGAAGGGTAAAACCTCCACATAATGGTTAGTATAGACAGGTGGTTCCTTATAGAGAAGGGTAAAGCCTCCACATAATGGTTAGTATAGACTGGTGGTTCCTTATAGAGAAGGATAAAACCTCCACATAATGGTTAGTATAGACAGGTGGTTCCTTATAGAGAAGGATAAAACCAATCTCCACATAATGGTTAGTATAGACAGGTGGTTCCTTATAGAGAAGGATAAAACCAATCTCCACATAATGGTTAGTATAGACAGGTGGTTCCTTATAGAGAAGGGTAAAGTCACCATCCACATAATGGTTAGTATAGACTGGTGGTTCCTTATAGAGAATGATAAAACCAATCTCCACATAATGGTTAGTATAGACAGGTGGTTCCTTATAGAGAAGGGTAAAACCTCCACATAATGGTTAGTATAGACAGGTGGTTCCTTATAGAGAAGGGTAAAGTCAACCTCCACATAATGGTTAGTATAGACAGGTGGTTCCTTATAGAGAAGGGTAAAGTCAACCTCCACATAATGGTTAGTATAGACAGGTGGTTCCTTATAGAGAAGGGTAAAACCAATCTCCACATAATGGTTAGTATAGACAGGTGGTTCCTTATAGAGAAGGGTAAAGCCTCCACATAATGGTTAGTATAGACAGGTGGTTCCTTATAGAGAAGGGTAAAGCCTCCACATAATGGTTAGTATAGACAGGTAGTTCCTTATAGAGAAGGGTAAAGTCTCCACATAATGGTTAGTATAGACAGGTGGTTCCTTATAGAGAAGGGTAAAGCCTCCACATAATGGTTAGTATAGATAACCTCCACATAATGGTTAGTATAGACAGGTGGTTCCTTATAGAGAAGGGTAAAGCCAATCCTAATGGTTAGTATAGACCCTTATAGAGAAGGGTAAAGCACATAATGGTTAGTATAGACAGGTGGTTCCTTATAGAGAAGGGTAAAGCCTCCACATAATGGTTAGTATAGACCACATAATGGTTAGTATAGACAGGTGGTTCCTTATAGAGAAGGGTAAAGAATGGTCCACATAATGGTGGTTCCTTATAATGGTTAGAACAGATGGTTCCTTAAGAAAGGGTAAAGCCTCCACATAATGGTTAGTATAGACAGGTGGTTCCTTATAGAGAAGGGTAAAGCCTCCACATAATGGTTAGTATAGACAGGTGGTTCCTTATAGAGAAGGGTAAAGCCTCCACATAATGGTTAGTATAGACAGATGGTTCCTTATAGAGAAGGGTAAAGCCTCCACATAATGGTTAGTATAGACAGGTAGTTCCTTATAGAGAAGGATAAAGCCTCCACATAATGGTTAGTATAGACAGGTGGTTCCTTATAGAGAAGGGTAAAGCCTCCACATAATGGTTAGTATAGACAGGTGGTTCCTTATAGAGAAGGGTAAAGCCTCCACATAATGGTTAGTATAGACAGGTGGTTCCTTATAGAGAAGGGTAAAGCCTCCACATAATGGTTAGTATAGACAGGTGGTTCCTTATAGAGAAGGGTAAAGCCTCCACATAATGGTTAGTATAGACAGGTGGTTCCTTATAGAGAAGGATAAAGCATCCACATAATGGAGAGTATAGACAGGTAATTCCTTATAGAGAAGTTTAAAACCTCCACATAATGGTTAGTATAGACAGGTGGTTCCTTATAGAGAAGGGTAAAGTTAACCTCCACATAATGGTTAGTATAGACAGATGGTTCCTTATAGAGAAGGGTGAAGTTAACCTCCACATAATGGTTAGTATAGACAGGTGGTTCCTTATAGAGAAGGGTAAAGCCTCTACATAATGGTTAGTATAGACAGATGGTTCCTTATAGAGAAGGGTAAAGCCTCCACATAATGGTTAGTATAGACAGATGGTTCCTTATAGAGAAGGGTAAAGCCTCCACATAATGGTTAGTATAGACAGGTAGTTCCTTATAGAGAAGGGTAAAGTTAACCTCCACATAATGGTTAGTATAGACAGATGGTTCCTTATAGAGAAGGGTAAAGCCTCTACATAATGGTTAGTATAGACAGGTGGTTCCTTATAGAGAAGGGTAAAGTTAACCTCCACATAATGGTTAGTATAGACAGGTGGTTCCTTATAGAGAAGGGTAAAGCCTCCACATAATGGTTAGTATAGACAGGTGGTTCCTTATAGAGAAGGATAAAACCAATCTCCACATAATGGTTAGTATAGACAGATGGTTCCTTATAGAGAAGGGTAAAGCCTCCACATAATGGTTAGTATAGACAGATGGTTCCTTATAGAGAAGGGTGAAGTCTCCACATAATGGTTAGTATAGACAGGTGGTTCCTTATAGAGAAGGGTAAAGCCTCTACATAATGGTTAGTATAGACTGGTGGTTCCTTATAGAGAAGGGTAAAGGCACCAATGATAGTACACCTATTGTAATTGAACATTACTAAGGGGAGGTAATGTAACATCATTAATAGACCATACAGGCTAAAATGAGTTAATTTTAGTTGATGAATTCTGTATTATAAGATGAAAAAATCAACTTTAAAACATTTAAAAGGTTTTATATAAACATTTCATTCCACTTTCCACAGCCAGATTTTTCAAAAGAACCGCTGACAACTCCGAAGCAGGTGGGGGACTGGCTGAATTTCTACGACATGTCGGCACCCCTTGTTTGTGTTGGAGAGCTTGTGTCACATGATCCGGTAGGTAGAAAGTTTTTACTGCATGCTCTGTTCCTGACTTTAACATTGAAGGTTGATAGGAGTCTGGTTACTATAACAATGTGTAAATTATATTGTATAAGTCATCCCCAATGTTTCCATTGTGTAACAGAGCCATGACAGGAAATATACATGTTTCCTTATATTACCAAGTGAGCTTACTCTCCTGGTTCAAATCATCATCATTATCAATAGATACTGTTTTGACATTTTTTAATGTTAATTTCGTGATACATTCATAAGTAAAGAATGTTAAATTATTTCACTATCATCGGGTTCAGATAGGGAGATCTCACAGTTTGCCGACTATTTAATCTTTCTCTAAGGCTTAGCCCCAAAAACCACCCAAACAGAGATGACTTTTTGTCATTATCTCAATTACTAGCAATATTTGTGTGACATGATAGTAATGGATAGGGGATCCCCCGTCATAAAACCAAAGGTTAGTATGTACATGGATACACCTGTCTAGGGATTGTAGGGCCTATGTAGGTACCACACACCTGTCTAAGGATTGTAGGACCCATAAAGGTAACACACACCTGTCTAAGGATCGTAGGACCTATAAAGGTACCACACACCTGTCTAGGGATTGTAGGACCTATAAAGGTAACACACACCTGTCTAGGGATTGTAGGACCCATAAAGGTACCACACACCTGACTAAGGATCGTAGGACCTATATAAGTACCACACACCTGTCTAAGGATTGTAGGGCCTATGTAGGTACCACACACCTGTCTAGGGATTGTAGGACCCATAAAGGTACCACACACCTGTCTAAGGATTGTAGGGCCTATGTAGGTACCACACACCTGTCTAGGGATTGTAGGGCCTATAAAGGTACCACACACCTGTCTAAGGATTGTAGGACCTATATAAGTACCACACACCTGTCTAGGGATTGTAGGACCTATATAAGTACCACACACCTGTCTAAGGATTGTAGGGCCTATATAGGTACCACACACCTGTCTAGGGATTGTAGGACCTATATAAGTACCACACACCTGTCTAAGGATTGTAGGGCCTATGTAGGTACCACACACCTGTCTAGGGATTGTAGGACCTATAAAGGTACCACACACCTGTCTAGGGATTGTAGGACCTATATAAGTACCACACACCTGTCTAGGGATTGTAGGACCTATATAAGTACCACACACCTGTCTAGGGATTGTAGGACCTATGTAGGTACCACACACCTGTCTAAGGATTGTAGGACCTATATAAGTACCACACACCTGTCTAGGGATTGTAGGACCTATATAAGTACCACACACCTGTCTAAGGATTGTAGGGCCTATATAGGTACCACACACCTGTCTAGGGATTGTAGGACCTATAAAGGTACCACACACCTGTCTAGGGATTGTAGGACCTATATAAGTACCACACACCTGTCTAGGGATTGTAGGACCTATATAAGTACCACACACCTGTCTAAGGATTGTAGGGCCTATGTAGGTACCACACACCTGTCTAGGGATTGTAGGACCTATAAAGGTACCACACACCTGTCTAGGGATTGTAGGACCTTTGTAGGTACCACACACCTGTCTAAGGATTGTAGGACCTATATAAGTACCACACACCTGTCTAGGGATTGTAGGACCTATATAAGTACCACACACCTGTCTAAGGATTGGAGGACCTATATAAGTACCACACACCTGTCTAGGGATTGTAGGACCCATAAAGGTACCACACACCTGTCTAGGTATTGTAGGACCTATTATGGTACCACACACCTGTCTAGGGATTGTAGGACCTATTATGGTACCACACACCTGTCTAGGGATTGTAGGACCTATATAAGTACCACACACCTGTCTAAGGATTGTAGGACCCATAAAGGTACCACACACCTGTCTAGGGATTGTAGGACCCATAAAGGTACCACACACCTGTCTAAGGATTGTAGGACCTATAAAGGTACCACACACCTGTCTAAGGATTGTAGGACCTATAAAGGTACCACACACCTGTCTAAGGATTGTAGGACCTATAAAGGTACCACACACCTGTCTAATGATTGTAGGACCTATAAAGGTACCACACACCTGTCTAAGGATTGTAGGACCTATAAAGGTACCACACACCTGTCTAGGGATTGTAGGACCTATATAAGTACCACACACCTGTCTAGGGATTGTAGGACCCATAAAGGTACCACACACCTGTCTAAGGATTGTAGGACCTATAAAGGTACCACACACCTGTCTAAGGATTGTAGGACCTATAAAGGTACCACACACCTGTCTAAGGATTGTAGGACCTATAAAGGTACCACACACCTGTCTAAGGATTGTAGGACCTATAAAGGTACCACACACCTGTCTAAGGATTGTAGGACCCATAAAGGTACCACACACCTGTCTAGGGATTGTAGGACCTTTGTAACTATCAATTTCGACATGTAGGTTCGCATGATTTCTATTTGTAATCCAGGGCATGGATCTCCGGGTGGAACATTTCCACTGCTTCAGTGAACATGGAGAGGGAGGACATTACCACTGGGACATCACCCCTGATGATGTACAGTACCGTGGTTACTTCGTCCTGGCTGACTATATCTATAGGGTGGACCAGCCACCTGTGATAACAGACCTCGCTCGTTAGGAGGTTTCATCACCACATTTGATTGTTTCTACACTACGAGTCTGTTAAAGTTATCATTGGTTAGTGAAATTTTCAAATAAAGATTTTAAAAATTGCGAATATGCTGTATCATTTCATATTTATAAATACCAACAGGGTAGGTATATTTTGTTATGACAGGGTAGGTATATTTTGTTGAGACAGGGTAGGTACTTATTTTGAGTGTTCGTTTTCGAGGCCATCTTTTCTTAGTGGTAACAATTTGATCATCTTTGTTAATAAGTGGTACACTTTAACCAATCATACGGGGCCTGATTTCCTTATGTCACTGATTGTCACGCATCTCTGTGGACGTTCCAGATGGGGCCTGGACAAGATGTCCTGCCACAGATAACCAGTTCCTCTTTCCTCAGCTTGTTTATAGAACTGTAACATGTCATACAGACGTGTGTTTTTTAAAGCCATATTGTATCATGTCTGCTGGTGGTTTACATAGTGCTACGACATCGGAAGATACATGACTTTGATAGCAGAGAGAAAATGTAACCTTGATCTCACCCGAACGACAGTTACACAATTATCATGATTTATCAGTAATCACTTCTTTTAATTTAAACATGCTGCAATGTCGAACGGAAAAAATGATTACAATATACAATGTGCAATATAACCTTATTCAACAGTGTTTAACAGTGGCGATTACCCCCACCCCGCCACTAAAACTTAACCAGTGAAAACAGAATGTATCTGTTAAATTGTTTCATGATTAAGTTAAAAGATTGTAATATTTCTGTGTTGTATGTCGGTACATCTATTCTGGAGCCGATTCAGTGATTTATTAATGAAATAAATGATAAAGAAGATGTGAAAAATTTGTTTGTTGTTTAGTTTTAATTACTCCGAAATCTCGTTTCTTATTGATGTTATCATGAAAATGTCGTTATATAACTCTTGTTTCGCATGCTTTTCTCAAACAACAGTTTGTATCATTATACAGAAGTTAAGAATAGATTATCGCTGACCTTTAACCTCTCTTTTTATGCCCCCTTATCTAAAGATCGAGGTCATATTGACTTAGTGCTTTCTGATTGTCTGTCTCTCTGTCTGTTGTCAACTTTGACCTTGGTCATATTTATTTCACCGCAAGAGGTAAGGTTTTCATATTTGGCACGTGTCTTTCGTGTGACAAGATCTTTCGGTGGAACCAACATGTTTTACCATGTAACCTTTACCGTGACCTTTGACCTACATTTGAAAAAAACTTAAACATTGGCCTATTGCAGTTCAGACAAAGTGTTTCACAAAGTGTGCATGCCATTATCACGTGCCTCAATAGTAGTTTTAACGTCCCATTTCAGAATCTTGTTGCAACCGGGATATAGTGTTTCATAAACACATCATGTTCTGTAGTGGAATGATACAAGTCTAAACATAGAAAGTAAAACCATCAGAACTGATGCTGTAATTGGAATAATCGATGTTCTCTAACCGTTGTAAAGAATCCCTTAAAACATTGAGGGTTTGTCAATATCTTTTCTAAAACAAACCCTGTAGACATGTAAATTTGTTACAAAACAAGTTTGTCGAGGTAGCAGAGAACGCTTTCTGATGAGGAACTCCTGGTCTTCTGTGTCAGGGGTCTTCCGTGTAAAATCTTTCTTTTGTTCATGTTTTACCTTACGTTTGTATGACCTGGATACTAATCATCTGTTGGTATTGTTGCAGTATTTACGAGTGGTTACCATTTCAGATATTGTGTTTTTATCACGTGCTGACATTACCTTTATGCAGCGCGTGATGTGATTATCGAAAAAAATCAGTTTAAAAAGTATCAATCTGCTGACAGCTATATAGACATTCCCATATAGTTTACTAATAATCGAAAGATTTGTTTTTTTGAGGAGTCCATGATTGTTACCCATCGCTTATGAAACGAGAATTGAAAACATTGGACGCCATGGTGTTATATATGGTATTGTATATCACCGAATGATGATAATTTTATGTAAATTGTTTTCGTCAGTAGGAGCATCCAGTGTTGGTCTACCTCAGTGAATAACATTCAGATGTACCCGAGGCCTGTAGCAAAGCAAGCCATCAGTAGCAATGGGGGTACATTGGTAAAGTGTCTTTGTCATTTACACAACCTCTACCACATACGACGGGCCGAAATATCATTTTCCTGAGAAACATAAACCACGAGAGTAATTATACTTGTCGACTACGAAAAGGTTTGGAATTAAAACAAGTAAAAACATTGCACGGAAATAAGGAATGAAATTGAAAACAAAATTCGATAAACCAAGATATGGAATTGAAAATAGGAACCCAACTACATAAAAAATTCTTGGAAGTAATTTATCCCATAGAAATATCGTAAAAATCATCCAAATATGATGTAATGTTCCATCAATCGTTGCTGTTGTAATTAGTGAAGTAAGAGTTGTCTCTCTTTGGCGCTATTCCAACTCTCACGATGTAGGTTCAGGTGTCCTATGACAGAGACTTGATACACTTCAAGGCACCCTCCCTAAGTTTTAATGAAATTAACAGAAGTAAGGAATAGAAACAGCTAGAATATTGCTGCCAGTGTTCGTGAACTGCTGAACGGTCTACAACAAAATTTTGCTTCGAAGTAATAAACCTCACTTGTGTTTTTAAGAGAAGTCGCGTTTTTTCCCCCGTACGCTTGTCAGATGGCATGTACCTTAACTTCCACATCTGTAAATAACCTCAACTATCTACCTCTGTCGTTCTGGTTGTCTTAACCAGTTATCTTTAAAATTGTACAAACGATACAAATTAAGTGTAAGATATTGTGGAGCGAAACAATGAACTAAACTGCATCATACAGTTGTTTCGTCCTTCTTGGAGTCGACAGTAAATGCTAAGGTTCTAAATTTCGAGGTCTAGGCGACTTAGGAAAACTTAGTTATTAAGGGGCAGTAGCCTAATACTTAAATGAATCCTGGCAGCGCCATTGTCAGAAAAGACCTCCCACAAGTATTTTTGTTGTATTCGGCAGTGACGAAAAACACCTGTTTTCAGCACGTGCGTGAATTCCACGGAATTAATTTCTGAATCTTCATTGAAATTACGTTTAACAATATAAATAACTGTTGAAATAAGTGATGTTATATGTTGTAATGGACAAGTTTATTTACCTAAAATTCATAAAAACGCTGTCATATCAATTGAAGTTCCGACATATTTCAATTTCTAGTTATTTTGGCGTACATCATCAGCCAAAATTCAGCGTAACGACTATGTCAGGTAAACAAAGATTGAACAAAAAAATTAATAAATAAAATAAAAAGAGAGAAAAAACAAAAAACAACAAAAAAATAAACAAACATTTTTTTAAATGATGGTCTGATTTGCAGTCAGTGTTGCTGGATAAATTTAATACATCGTCATTGTCTTAAGATAAAGATTGTGTTATGGCTCGGGACAGAAAGATAAAGTACAGCTTATGTTTTAAGACACTGACCATTGACTCACTATATATTTCGTAAATCCATATATCTGATAATACACCGAGGACAAAAAGTTCGGGATCACTTTTTAAAGATACATTTATTTGTGTCAAAAGGCAAAAGCATTTGAAGTAAGAAATACAAAGGATGTGTAAGAAAACAATTTTGAGCCACTTTGAATCAATTTCGTTCAAGTGGGTCGTGTATGATAACGTAAAAAGTTCATAACCTTCTAAAACAAAGTGAAAGTCTGAATGGTGCTGAAAGTTCAAAATGCTTCGGAGGGTTCAGCACCACTATCATAGCGAGTGTCCCGTTAACAGCGCGACATCAGCTGGCATGCGACGTATCAGGCGCCGTATAACCACTTGTGGAGCCACAATTCGTTGTGATTGTTTCCCCTGTAGCATACCCGACTGCTCGGCCAGCCTCTGCAGCTGTTATGTGAATCAGTTATACTCATGATCGTTAACTTTTTGTGTCCAATATATTAGCAGAACGACAAGTACACGTGTATGAACTGATATGTTCCGACAAAGTGAGGTCATAATTGATAGGTGCAATGTATAGAGATAATGTCTCTTGTGACAGATCAGGCAAAATTAGCTGTATTGTATTTGCAAACATAAAAATGATGGTGGTTGTAACAGGCTCAAGTGTTGGCTGAATGCGGATCTGCAAAGAGCTTGTTGAAGAATATAGCAACTTCTACAGCCACAGTGGCATTCAAGTCATTCTCCTAAAATTTAGAAGTCGGCCAAACACACTGGCAGATCATAGATGAACGACACAGATTCTGTCAGCGAAAAGGTGCTGAGATAAAAGCTGAGAGAGCTGTGTGATGCTTGAAATCCCCACTGAATGTGTGTAAACCTTGACGGGAAATGTCTTGTTGCATACCCGTTACATAGTTGACAAAATTCCCGGTGTGTCGGTGGCTGTGATACAAGTAATGAACTACTACAGGATAAACATTGAATTTTGATAATGACTTCCCCAGGTTTCTAGGACCTGCCTTACCGACAGCAGTGTCACCTTTAACTACTGACAACTGCATTTTTCTTTTAACTCTCTCTTCTTTTCTCGCTCTCTCAGCTTTTATCTCAGCACCTTTTGGCCGAAGTGTTGGCTGAGTTGGTCGCTTGCCTCAGACTGTAATAATCAATAGCAATTCTACTCTATGAATTGAACATGTACCCGTCCAAATATTTAATGAACACATACCGATATGCTTTCATAGGGCGTGGCAGTTTATTTATAAAAATAGAAAAAAATACTTGGTTAGGCAGAAACGATTAATTTTGGGCCTTTTGACTTGGTTTTAGTTTATTTATAAAATTTTTGAACATTCAATATTTCATTTTGCAACAAAGAAATACAAGAAAAACACAACGTGAACACGTAATCATTGTAGCTTAAGCTAACTTTTCACCCACTTCGATAACGTAGAAGACGCTTACTCTTCAGAATACCTGGTCTCATTCTTCTTGTACTTATGCAAGGGGCTCCCTGTGAGTCCTACCTTTGTTCATAGCTAACCATCACCGTTTCAGTTCTTTACATATATTTATATACACACATACATATATCAAGACAATATGTGTTTCTGACGTCCGTCAGGGTTTTGGACCTCACATCGCGTGTACGGGTTCAGCTCTTTTCATATTTTGGTGAAAAAAGTACAGCCATGTCAACATAATCATTATCCAAACCCAAATTCACTAAATCTATGGCAAAATAAGAACAAAAACGAAAGATTTACACGGGGTCTCTTGAAAATGTACAAGGAGAATAAGACCAAGTTTTCCGGAAGAGATAGCGTCTTCTTCTGCTTCATCGAAAATGACAGTCATATGATAAACAATATTGCTTTTACCTCCTGCTGTATTGTTAAATTGGTTTCCGGTTAATTTGGTTTAAACACATTGTATTGGCTTATAAAAAGGTTACTAAAATCCACCAACTTATTCGTGGCTTTTCTCGAAATCGTTGGATTTCACTTTGATGGCCGATCATATACATCTTGTTATTCACTTCACCATTGAAGGTATTCATTAATTAGAATTATTCCATCAGTAACCCAGCTGCGCTGTTGACTAACCACACAGGAGAGAGACAGAGAGACAGAGAGAGAGATCTATCTCAGTAAGTATAATGTGTTCCCTTTTAAGAATCGTTATACTTTCATTTGATGACGGATTTCATGACCGGCGAGATTTTACTGAACGTCAGATGACACTTTGTAAATGACGTCACTATTCAGACTTCTTCGTTGTAGAACGGTGACATTGAACACACGTACTGTTACTGAAGATGTTGGCGACAGCGTTATCTAAAATTCAGCCATCAATTCACTTGCAAATTTTCGAGCTTGACGGCCAAA